GCACGTGTGAAGGCATATGTGGAGGCAGAGGTCAACTGGGGTATCACTCATCAGGAACAGTCTACTGGGGCTGGTCACTAGGCTTAGGTTAGGCTGCTCAGACAGCAAGAATCCTCTCCACCACCCTAGTGCTGTGATTACAGCAAATGCTATCATGTCCCATTTTTTACATGGGTGCTAGGGATCAGGCTCTCATGTTAGTAAGCACTTTACCAACTGAAGCATGCCCTTGGCCCCTGAAAAACCCCTAAATTTACTTGGCTTAACTTATTTTATATTCCTTACAAACAGCACCACACTTGCTAACTAGAATTTTAAATATTTGAGGACACGCCTGTCAATCTAAGTAGCTGGTGTTTCGCATTTTAGAAATTTCCCAGAGGACTTGAACTTATATTCAGCAATCAACATGTCACATGTCTTAGAAGTTTTCTCCTTCTTGCCTATGCTTATAAATATTTGTCCCATTTGTGTTTGTCCAGCTTATTTTAGGAAAGTAGGGATGGAATCCTAGGGTCCTGCTCATGCTAGGCCAGCACTTGACCACTGAGCTATACCCTCGTCTCCCAACTTATTCTCTTATTACTGTTTCAGTTGCCTATTGAAATTCCAAGACACTACATGGAGCCATCAGGGCCATTAGCAAACACTTTTTCCATATGAATGTTACAAAGGTTTTACTAAACAACAGCTCCACACGCTAAGATAAATGAGTATTTGGTTCCTCCTGAGACACATCAGACATCTGTCAATATTAGTCTTCACCCAAGCTTCCCCAATTTATACAAAACCTGCAAAGCATTTGGGACTGTGTTTTGTAATAGGCCCCAGATATAGCACTACTGACGCCACATTAGAGGCACCATTCTGACCTTAAACTCCAGCACGTATGCCCCGACATCTGCAAAACAGAACAAAGACCTAATCCACCAAAGACCTGACCCATAGTTCCAGGAAAGTCCCTAAACATAGTAACCTTGCATTTTAGCTTCTGGAGTTCTGTTGTTTTTTTGTTTGTTTGTTTTGTTTTTTTGCTAACTAAAGTGTGACAACCAGGATGTAGTTTTTGTGCATAAAAGACAAAAGGCTGTAAGATTTGGGCAAGTTCACCAGGCAGCCACTGGCTAGCACTAAAGGTTTTCTTTTTGGCTTTTAAGAGTGTCCAAGTGGGTGGGATAGTGATGGTACATGTCTTTAATCCCAGAACTCGAGCAGAGGCAGGCAAATTTTTGAGTTTGAGGACAGCCTAGACTACAGAGCGAGTTCCAGGATAGCCAGGATTACAGAGAAGTGTCAAAACAAGTGGCAAACAAAACAAAAAAGTGGCAAAATAAATGTGTCTAAGCTGGGAATGGCGCTGCACACCTTAAATCCCAGCGCTGGGGAGGCAGAGGCAGGTGGATCTTTTTGAGTTAAGGGCAGCTTGTCCTACAAAGTGTGTCCAAGACAGCCAGGGCTCTGTTACAGAAAAACCTTGTCTCAGGAGGAGAAAAAAGTGTCCGAGTGTCCCTGGTGAGTTCACCTCACAACAGTTTCTTTAGTAAACAAGTGTTTATTTCTAACTCAAGTTGGTACAATGCATCGAATATGTGGTCATATAGTGTGCATATAGATGTATAGCGTACACCTTTATATACACATATAGGCAGAAAAAGATCGCCCACGCGCGCCAGTACCCACCTTTATGACAAAATACTTGCTACAACTCAAACGAGTAAAGACTTATTTTGGCTCATGGCTTCGGTCCACGGTTCTTTGGCTTCATCACTCTAGACATGAGGCAAAACTGAACATCAAAGAAACACTTGGCAGAGTGCTTCCCTCATGATGGAAAGAAGACTGGGTCGGGGATAAGATATACCCTGTCCCAGGGCACTCCTCCAGTGTCCAGCTTCCTACAAACAGGCCTGATGGTCTGTCCATTCAACTCTGAAATCAATGGATTAATCCAATGTCACCCCCCTATGATCCAATCATTCTTCAACAGTACCACTTGCTGAGGAATCTTCAACCATCAGTGCTTTGGGGTCACATTTCATACCCAAACCCTAATACCATAAAGTACGTTAACTATAACAATCTGCCACAAGTGTCACACAAAGTCCCACCAAGGACATTGAAGTCCATGAGCTTCCTTGATCCAGGGGCTAACACTGCCCATATGGAGACCATGGCTACACTTGGGCTGGGGCTACTGTCTGGCTAGCCCTTACTTCCTAGAGCCCTTACTTTTGGCCAAATATACACTAGTTCTGAGTCAGGTGCCCTGATTTATATTAGACCAATTTTGGGGGCATTTTGAATTACCCTGAGGTGGTTGCCACAAGGTACTGGCTTTTATCTATCCTTTCTCTCCTCTGCCCAGGGCCTGAGCTCCTATCTCAATCTTTTGTCTTCCCTCAGCTGTCTGGATCACAGGGTCTGTAGTCCTAGAAGCTTAGTCAGGAGTCTCTCGGATGAGGGTCCTGGTATGATTTCACAAAAGATTAAAGGAGCTACTTTTCCTCCCTTTTACAAAGTTTTAACTGGAGACTCAAATCCCACTGTCCAGCCAATCGGTATTCTAATCTAATTCATACTAATGTCACACAATGCAGCAAGTCATTCTTTTTCTTGAACCTCTTGGATCTTAATGAACCTCAATTAACACTCAGATGCCTATGTGTGATTGCCAGGCCTACTTTTTAACCAGGAGACTGAAAAAAAAAAAAAAAAAAAAAAAAGCAGGAACAGAAAGGCAACTGGAACCTCAAGGCTCCCAGAGCTGCTTTTCAGGGCATCCCTGGAAGTGCTAATGGTAACCAGGCACAGGACCATCAGATAGGATGGAAAAACTAGAATCAGAGGGGCTCACAAAGCAGAGCTGTGCCAAATTCAGAGCGTCAGCAACCTAAACAGAGGCCAGAGGATTTCAGGCATGGACAAGGCGACACTGCAGTGGTGTGAGTAGCAGCCTAACCTAAAGTCTCTCTCTTCCTTTTTTATTTTTTTCCTTTTCTTTATATTTTTGGAGACAGGATGTCGCTTTGTAGCCCAACCTGGTCTGGAACTCACTATGTAGCCCACAGCTCAGGTTTGGGTGCAACCTAACAATGCTACTACTTCTGTAATCTGAGTGCTAGGATTGCAGGAATTAGGCATCAGACCAGATCAAATGAAAAGTGTCTGAAGCTTAGCGTCTACTGGAATGGAGTAACTAGTCAGCTGGCTCAAACAAATGCATTTCTGAACCATAGCCTAAAGTGTGTTCCAGTGCTGCAGCCAGTTTGCAGTCCAAGGAGGAGATAAAGCTGGGGTTATCACATGCTGTGACAGTCAGTGAACACTACAGAATACAGGACAGACAAGCAGAGAAGGCTGCATGAAAAGCAGGGGTGCATACTACAAACTGTCGAGAGAGAGCCTACTGAATATGGCTAACACAGAAGCTAAGGTTCAGGCAGCCACAGAGGTAGATTTGCACCAACCATCACCAGGGCTGGTGCTCTTCTTCAGGCCCTCTAAGCATCCCTTGGTGGTCATCAAAGATGTCAGCAATTGATTCAAAGGGTCTTTTGCTCAATGCAAATGAAAATCACAAATGGTAGAGTGTAGCTTTCTTTCTTCTTGCTGGCAGCTCTAAACTGTTGTACTAGATTAAGAACAAGCAGAAAGAAATACTGGATGGACAGCCAGGCAAACAGTTAAAAACAAAACAAAACAAAACAAAAAGTTGGCTAACCCTGTGAAGACCATGAGAGGAAAAAGATGACCCTTTTTCTTTCCTGGGGGACCTTCAGTATTAATGCCTGTTCCCTGTAAAGTCTGCAGCTCAAAGATGAAACATTAAGTATTTTGATTTGCATACTAAATTAGCCATTGACATTCTCATTAAAAAAAAATATATATATATATATATATATTCCTAACTTAACTTTGAGGGGGAAAGAAGGCAGTCAATACTCAACATACTCTTGACCAAGCAGGTTAAGAACCAGCTTTTGATATCTAGACTGTTCCTACCAGGGGCTGTATAAAAAACTATTTTCAGTTTAGCTTAGCTACTGAGCTATACCTTGGTGGTGACTGCCCTAAGCTTCAGTTTCCTCATCTGTGAAATGGGGACAGTTATTCCTACTTGCTGGGAACAGGTAATATTCAGGGGCTGAAGCACAAGCATGGTACCTAGCAGAAGAGAGGTGCTCGGTAAATGGGATAACTAAAAAGTAAAAAGTGGTAAAAGTCTTGTATATGGTAACATGCAAACAGAAGGCTTCAGTTCAATGTCACCAACTATGGGAAGCTGTCCCTGTCTCCTAAGTCAGCATGAGAGGTCGGGCACCCTCAAAGCTGCATCTTGTTAGTCTGCATATCTCTAAACTTCAAGAGATCATTAGCACTCATTCTACTTGTAGGTAGAGGCGGAAGAGTGTACCGTCCAGTGTACAAACAGGAAACGCTGGCCAGTTCCAGAAAGGCCAAGGAAGAGTGGATCTGCCATACCTCCAGCTGAGAGGCTGTAGACTGAAAAGTGGCCACATGCTAATGAACACTGTGAATGCCAATCACAGGCTCGTGAGGTACGCTGAGCACTGGTGTAGTACCTGCTTTAGGAATGCTTCCCACATGCATTCTCAAACACTCCTCAGTTGTTAGACTCACATGGAAAGCCCTGTGATAAACAGGTGTTCCCAGAACCCAGCTGCCTCTCCCACGAAACTCCTATCACCAAGCAAAACTGTCTGGGACCACGAAAGTAATATATTTTAGCATGGTGTGGAGGGTGGGTACACGTGGTGGTGTCTGGATGGATTTGCTCTCTGAGCCTGAGCACGCCTGTCAGGTGTTCGCTTTCACTACATCCTAGGTACTTAATACATTCTGTCCGGAGACTTATTCAAGCTCCACCATGTTGCTCCTTTTATCGAAACGCCTTCCTGCAGATAGCCTTGTAAAAGAGGCTCAGTGGACAGACGCCATGAAGCAGAAAGTATTCTCATTTTCTTATAAGGAAAGTGAGGTCCAGGCCCATTTGTCATTTAAGACAATGACCTTGTCTCTAACATACCTCACATGCCATAGCTGCTGGGGCCAGATCTAGCATCTGCATAGCACAGCCCTCTCTACTGACAAAATGAACACAGGCATGTAATGAACAAGGAAGGCAGCTATGTGCTCACACCAACATAGATGTATGCTTGGGATCCAATACACCGAGTGCCAGGGTGACTACCTCTCACCTATGTCTACCTGTTTGGGTCTTGCTCCAGTGAGAGGTAGAACAGTTACACAGAGAGTGACTTGACACGGAGAATCACATGGACTGGATTGAACTTGGAGAATGTTAGGCTCTGTAACTCCTGCTCCCATATTTGGAACATTGGGAGACCTGAGAAGTGACAGGACCTGTGAGGTGAACAGAGATGGGATGGAAACAAACCTCTATCATGAAGTCCCAGAAAGTCCCAGAAAGAGCTTGATTAGACCACATCCAAGTAGTGCAATTTGAAGACAAGCACCGTGCTTCTTCCGAGTTTTTCAAATCACATTCTGGATGCCCAGAGGCCTGTTTTAGCCAGCATACAGCATAGCCATGGAGGCTTGAGCAGGGTAGGCATCATGGGCTTAATGCTGACAGCTCTAAATGGATCTGGAACTGTCTGTTCTGGTGCCACAGCTAGGACCTGCCAGACCTGGCATTCTAGAAAATCAAATGGGCTGATGCAGCATTGCCCAGGCTTTATGATCCCTACCTCCAGGACTGCCCCTTGTAGAAGCCTTTAAGAAGCCTTCTCTTGCCTGCTGCCAGTTTAACCATTGACATCTTGGTGGATGTAGGTCCTGGGGAGGCCAGAATGGTGAGACACTCCACTTTGACTTGTGACACAGTGTGTCTGCATCAGGAGAGACCCAGATGACTGGGGACAGAGATAGAAATCTACTTCCTTCATTCGTCTAGCAGAACCATTGAGAAATGATTGTCAGGTCAAAGCTTGTTGTCAGTAGAAAATGGCATCCCCTTTGTCCCTTCTAAAAGGTACAAAGCAGTCATTATACAGCTGCTTGCTGTCATTCATTTTATCTTTGTGACAGCGTGGAAAGTGGGTAGCATTTCCCACATCATCGTGCTGATGAGGAAACTGAGGTGCTGCACAGCTGTTAGGGGACAGGGACAGGCACGGGCCTGTGTCCTGCTCCTCTGTGTGTGAGGCACCTTCCACTATGTTTGTGCTTGGCATGTGACAAAGGCCAGAATCAGCACGGCTTGTCTCTACGTTCTAAGAAGTCACCTGGGGCGGTAGCGGTGGTACATGGTGTAGTTGCTCCTGAGGCTGCTGTAACAGAAGCTGAGTGTCAGACAAGGGAAGCTCATGCTCAGTTCTAGAAGACAGAAGTCATGAACCAAGGTGTGGCCACGCTCCCCCTAAAAACTCCAGGCAGGTCCCTTCTGCTCTCCCAGCGTGTGGGGCCTGCCAGAGTCCTCAGCTTCCTGGACATCTGACCACTTCTCTCCTGTCCCCTGGCCATCTTTCCCTGAGTGTCTAGTGCAGATTTCTCCTTCTCTATAAAGACAGCAGCCCCGGTGCATTGGGGCCACTTTATTGAACCCATTTTAAGTTGTTCACTCTAAAAGACCATGTTGTGCAAAGGTCACATTTCCAGGTTAGGACACAGTTCAGTCCTTAGAGAGAAGAAGTATTGCCTCCACTCAGGAGAGAAGGAAACTGAGACTCAGAAAAAGAACCATCTCGACGGATAAGTGAAATATCAGGTCCAGCCAAGACCCATGTTTTTGGCCCCAGAAGGCTGGGCTGGGTCCTGCAGTTCTGCCCTCCTCCCATGGTGCCTTTCACAGGGGGAAGGAAACCTCCAGCTCTCCTGAGAGGAATGGAGGAGGGGGCACTCTGGACCTCTTCTCAAATGGCTTCTTCGTCAACATGACCTGACTTGGTAGGACTGCACAGCTGCACCCACACAGCACAGCGTGACCTCAGTGTGCCACCTTGGCTTGCTGGGAAACTTCCTTGTTGCTGGGTCCCAGGTTCCAGAGGATGGGGTCTGCATCTGTACATGAGATGGTCGGGGAATGGTGTTCCTCCTCTATGTCTGGGAAACCGATTCATGCAGGCTACAGAGACTGTCATGCAGGCTACAGGGAACGGTGGCTGGCCTCTGCCTTTTGTAGAGCTGTCTTTCTGTCTCTGATTTAGCTGTAACACCATTTACCTAGAACTGGAGCAGAGCATCAAAGCTCCTGATGGTTCCTGCCCAGCCCTGCCTGGCTGTAGCCGAGCCAGCAGCAGACTGGCAAGGCTGGCCCACTTATGTCCTGGCCCTACCTGTCTCTCTGCACACTGATGATGATCTGCTAGCCACTCTGGAGGGGAAGTAAGTTCTGGAAAGGAGGGTGTAGAGGCACTTTAGTCTGTAGTTCTGGCTTCCTGCAGCTCACATTTGTCTGAAGAGCCTGTGCTTTTTCAGAGGTCTAGGTATCTTCACTGCTTTCCTTCTTCCAGGAAGAATCCACACCGTTCTTCCAGCTACAAAAGGAACTGTCTCTTAACTTCATGGAGTCATCAGCATACCTGCAGGAACAGGAAGGAACAGTGATGATGGGCTGTCTATTTTTACTCCTATCAGGATGGATTGTTTCTGGGTATGGGATCTATGTCTTCCCTGCCCAGTCATGTGCTGAGATAAATACATCCACATGATGTAGCCATTAAACAGGAACAGATATGAGGTATCATTTCCAAGGTCTTTGAAGTGACTGTTTGTATCTTCTGTTTACTATCTTATGATTGTTCACGCCTATCTTCTCTTTCGGGGCTGAAGGAAAGAGGGATGCTTCCCATGTGCTATATCATAAAGCAAATGAAATCCCTACTGGTCTACAAATGAACCACTATACAGAACTGGAAGACCAGTGGTTCTCAACCTTCCTTTTGCTGCAATCATTTAATATAATTCAAGTTGTGGTGACCCCAACTATAAAATTATTTCATTGCCTCTTCATTACTGTAGTTTTGCTACTGTTATAAACTACAGTGTGAATATCTGAAATGTAAGATATCTGATGTGCAGCCTCTGTAGGGGTTGCAACCCGCAGGTTTAGAACCACTGCTCTAGACGGGCACACGCACCCAAAGCTGTCTTGCTAGGCACAGGGATAAGCTGCTGTATGCTGAGCCCCTGAGACTTGAGGATGCTTATCCAACATGACCTGGCCTATCTGCATAACACAGATAATCCTAAGCCATAGACTATTTTCTTCTAGTACTGTTATATATGCTTCTAGGAGCTTCTGGCTGCCAATCTCTTCCCTGGTCAGCATGTTTAATATGAATGACATAAATTTCAATCACTGATTTCCTGGAGTTGGATACAAAGCTACAGGCCACTGATCACTGGACCTTTCTATAGTGTTCTCGAAGTGTGGTCTAAAAGTGTCCCTGAAGGGATGCTGAACCTCTGGGATGGCTTTCTCCTTGTCAGCTGAACATTAATCAACAAGGCATTACTCAGAAAATAGCACTCAGTGCCAGAATTCCATCCTGTGTGAGCAGGAAAAGATTCCCCAAGAAGTTGCAGCACCATTTGCCAAGATAGGACAGAGACAAGATAGATGTTCATGAACTGTGATAGTGGTGCCCTGACAGTTTGCAAAGGAAAGGCAGTCCAAGAAGATGTGTTATGGACCTTGGATATTAGACTCTAGAAGGCTTCTCTACTGCAGCTTGATTCCCTAATAATCAACACAGAGGCCTTTTAAAATTATAAAAGCTTTAAGGTACTGGGACAGGTACCCTCTAAGATATTTTGCTATTTCCCAGCTACACACACCAAGTTACTTGTCATAATTGTTCTTGCCAGGGTTGCTGCTGTTCCATCAGGCCAGCCCTCCTGGCCATGTGCTCATTGTCCTTGCTGCCCCATGGTGACTTCCTTTTCTCCAGTTTCCTGTCCTGCTACATCTTCTGTTTCCTCTCTCTCCTCCTTCTGGCCTCGTGGTTCCTCTGAGATCCCCAGGACAGGAAACCTAAGCTCTGCCAACTTCTCTTATGCCCAAACTGCAGGCATCAGCAACTTTATAGCCAATAACCTTAAATTAAGTAGAGCAAGGTTTACACAACAAAAACCGGTATACATGAGGATGTACTTGTCTGGCTCACAACAAGATCTTGGGGTCCAATAATTAGAACTAGAATACATAGCACCAGAACAACCCCCACCAATTGTCCTTTTTTGTCTAAATAAAAAGGCTCTTTCTCTTACAATAATAAAGAATAAATAATATGTTATATGAAAACTGTAATATAATAATTACATTCACAATGTTCAGCCCATTCGTATTTTGCAACTCAGGAGATAGTACTCTACTATCATCCTATCTTGTTGAATTCAGAGTTCTGTACCCAAATTATTTTCTAGAATAGCTTATATTTAACAACCTAAAACTTCTATTTAGACCGAAAAATATTTTTAAAATTTTTTTCTAAATCCTAAACAACTTAAGCCTAATTTCAAGACTAAACTGTGTAGTCCTCAACTCCATCAGAGTATGTTGGAAGAGCAGCAAGTAGCTTCCACAATAGAGAATTAACAGACAGCTGGCTGCCTGGACAGTCACCCAAAATTTCTCTGTAATATTGGAGCATCATTCAGCCTTCTGGCCCAGAATATCTATCTGACAGACATATTTTTGAAGCAGGAATTATGAAGGACTTGCTTACCCTGTCTTGGCAGAGCTTGGCAGATAACTTTGCCTGCATCTATGTGTTGTCCATTTTGGACAGCATACTGTCTGCAGAGGAGCAGAGGCATTTCTTTGCCCAGTGGGAGCCTTCCACCTTTGAAGTAAACTCCTAAAGGAGATTCTTTGATGCTCATCATCTCTCAAGTCAAATTGACTTGAAAGTCAGCCGCCATGAGCTGACATGTTTCAATGTAAAAAAAAGCCTTAAAATAATAAACACATCTTTAAATGCCAAATTCTGTGGTTTCTGAGGTTTGTGAAGACCAACTATCCATAGCACATCATTGCTTGTTTTAGCACAAACATCGCTTGTTTTTAGCTATTTACTATCTGTTCAACCTAGGAAACACATTTCCGTGATAAACTAGTATTTGACTGTTAATCTGTATAACTTAATTATCCTAAACAGTTTGTAATAGCAGGGTTTTTTTTTGTTTTGTTTTGTTTTTTTTGTTTTGTTTTTTGAGACAGGATTTCTCAGTGTAGCCTTGGCAATCCTGGACTCGCTCTGTAGACCAGTTTGGCCTTGAACTCACAGAGATCTGCCTGTCTCTGCCTCCCTAAGTGCTGGGATTACAGGTGTGTGCCACTGTGCTTGACTGTAATAGCAGTTTTTAAAAGGACTGGAAGGAATCTTGTATTTATAAATGAGTTGTATACAAGAGTTGAAACATATTATACATATATGTCAAGAATAACTTTAAATTATATTAATATACAATAATATAAACCAATGTAAAATATTTGAGAATAAAAATAGTTATAAATTTAATAATGTACCTTTTATCCCAATTTTTCCTATATTATTCCTATATGATGTTCCTTTATTTCCCCCTTCTTCTTCTTAACCCCTTTCCTCTTACCTAAGAAAGAAGAATGAAGAAAAGGAAAGAGAAAAATCCTTGAGCCCAAATTCCTATATCTAGTTTCCTCCCTGAGCAATACTATAACAGTATGCAACCACCGCCCTTCTTATAACGACAAACATTTATCACCTGATAGACTGACCAAGACCTACCCACCCTGCCTTAAGGGAATAGAACCTCATTCTCTTAAAATTGGTCCTGCTGATTTGGGGTATAGTATTCCTTTTTTGGGGACCCAAGGAAATTGGAAAAATGGTTAAGTTTTAAGAAAGCTAGCTGTAAATTGTTGTCTAGTATTTAAACGTAGTGAAAATGCAGGCTTAAATGAAGTTTTGACTAAAGCAGTCTGAAAGGCTGGACCAATGGGGATCAGCAGCTTTCTTTGAAACTGTCCTGGAAGCAAGCTTTGATGAAAGAACAACTGAAGCAGTGTGTGGCTGGATAAAGCGGATGCTGAACAGACATGTCAGCGTCTCCAGGATGAATCTTGTAAGAACTTCACTGGTATTTGGTCCTTTTGTTCTATAAACATACAAGCTCTCACACGTAATATACAGTTCTGAAATTACATATGCATGGGATGTACGCAGATCAGTTCAAGATAATTCTCTGCTCTTTGAGCAGGTGAAAGACATCTATCTTTCTTTATAGCTAGTTTGTACTGTATAACCAAACTACAATATAAATCTCCATCCTTGCCATATGAAAAGACAGGGTGTACTAAAAAGTCATGAGAACTCTATAGCCAGCAAGATTTATTGGCTGTGCAAAGACATTCAGGCCTCTGGCAGTCTCAAAGCTGTTTCCAAGTAGCAGGATCAGCAACACAAGTTACCTGCTTTGTTGGTCAGCCTGTAGTCAGGATCCTCAAGGGGTCGTCCCCTATCAAATCTGATTTCCAACAGTTTGGATGTAATATTTAGCCTTTCTTTACCTGTAGAAAGAAATGCAAAATCTCCTCCCCAATGCAACATTTCCTGCCTTCCATTTTGAAGCTAAGATATCCACGGTCTGATCTAACTGAGTAGTCCTTTCTAAATACCCAGTGCTTTTCAGTAGCTGTGCTACCTGTTTCATTGATTTTCCAAAAACTCAAAGTCAATAAAGTACCATTTGATCTATCCCTGGTATATCTACCTTAATCCCTTTTCTTCTATGAGTACCTCTTATAAATTCTTGTTAGATCTTTTCATAATTACTTGACCTATAAGACTGTAAGTTATATCTGTAACATTTTTTATGCCATAATGTCAAAAACGAAACAAAACTGGTGTATTCCACTCGATACACATGCCGAAGCACCATCAGCCCCAATCTGCAAAGGCACCTCCGAGACAATCACCATGTCTAATAAATGTTCAGCCTCAGCATCATCTTTTCCAGAATTCAAGGTAAAAGCCCACTGAATTCTGAATATGTATCAATAAGTAGAATCTGGATTTTTAATTCAATATATTGTTTCTCCACAGGTTGCCATTCTAATTCCTCAAACCCCTGTGGCTTTTTCTCATCTGGAACTAATTTTTTCTAATTTCTGTTCTATGGTCACCAGTCCAACAATCCTTTTCTCATTCTCCTCCTTCTCTAAGTCTATCTTATTTTGATCTCTCCCAATGAGGATATACAAAACTACAATTGTCGCTGGAAAAATTATTTGTATGCTAAGAGAAACAAACTCAAATGGAATCCAAATGCATTGTGTCATTGTGACTTCCTCCATTTTTCAACTCGGTGGTTAATTCTGCTCCCTAGCTCAGTCTAGAAGGCTGCTGGTTTCTGGTTCTGCCTCTCTGACCTGTCACTCGCTGGCTCATGTGGCCAGTTCTCGGTTCACAGAGCAGCCTGCCTGGTGCCACAGAGACGCGCTCGGGAGAAGTCAGCTACTGTGCCCTCGGGCTCTGGTCCTAGGAGATGGCAGCAAGCCAGCCAGCTACTGTGCCCCTTGGGCTCTGGTCCTAGGAGATGGCAGCAAGCCAGCCAGCTACTGTGCCC